TTGTCAAGCAAACTTTACAGAGATTACACATGGCACCTTAACAGCTGGTTTTTAAATTGCCTTTCAGCCTGGTTTAGTCAAGTTAACTCAAAGATGAACAGTTCAAACATCCTGAGGAGACCCACCTTCAGCCAGTCACAGATGTTCTAATGTACTGGAAGGTCTGTGCTTGTCCAGTAATTGGCTTCTCATGTACTACACCAATCTTTAGGGAAAAAAGAAAGCAGCTCCTCCGGCAAATTTGCAACCTCCTGTTCCTGAGCTGACCTGAGGACTAATCAATGCAATTAACATTGACAGCAGAAAGATAAATACTATAAGGAAAATACTTCTCCACTCTTTTCTATAGATCTAGCCCAAAACATAAAACAAGAGGGCAATAATGACCATCTCCTATAAAACTTTGAACTGCCAGTCATATTTGATTTGGAAGACAACCAATCTCCCTATCCAATGGGTTTCCCAAACAAAAACTCTCATTGATATAATTATCCATTGGAGACATCAGAGTACATTTCTGGCTGGCAGCGGAACACTTTTTCAAGTTTTAACTTTCAACACTGTCATTTTCCTATACTATTTAAAAATTCAAACATGTAAAAAATTCAGAGGCATTTGCCATTCAATAGAGTTTCTCTCTGTTTGCTGATCAGGTCCAGGTTTCACACTGTACAAAGTGTTAGTGGCCAAACTGAATCTGAGGGCACATCTGGCCTCAGTCTTTTGCTTCCAAGTCCAGGTCATACAATTATATTAAAGATGCAGAGAACTTTTATAGCTTATATGTTTTCAGCAAGTATAACTTATTTTTACAAGTCCTCTATGTGCCTACTAGAAATGGTAACCAAACCTGGCAAAACTATGAATAGGTATTAGAGTATTCCAGTAAATTTTCATATGTGTCTCAAATGTATTTCTTCTGTCATCCATCAGATATGTTCAGAAACAAAGCCTGAGGCATTATTTATCTAAATAAATACATAGAGCTTGAAAACAGTAGAACTTCTTGAAGAAAGTTCCCTCACCCTACTGCTCCAAGTGTGATTCCCAGGGAGGCAGCTGGCACCTCAGGCAGGCGAGCCTGGCACCTGGGGCAGTTGGAGCAGCACAGGAAAAGACTATACACAGAACCTGGGCCTTTTGCTCCTGAACAAGGACATAGAGAGCAGAACTCATCAAGTGCCCCATTGCCCAAAATGTACACGACAGACAACTCTGGCAGCAGGAAAGATCTTATGGGATCCAGAGCAACTGCATCACTCAGAAGAATAACCATTACAGTTTAAAAAGAGTCCTTTCTCCAACTATGCAGCAAAGCACACTCTGCTTATATGTCTCCCTCTTCTCGGGATGAGGAGATGAAGATTCAGCTGGCATTTGATCCAGCAAGCCAAGGCAGCACACAATGTGTGCCAAACATGAACCCACTGCTCCACAGAGCACCTTTGGCACACGGCTCTGCAGACACAAGGCAGCTCCTGATCTTGGTCCTTGCCAATCACTCCACCTCCATCCAGTGCAACTGCTGGTGGGAGAGAACACTTCTAGCACTCAGAGCTGTTGTTTGCTCTCAAGAGAGCCTTCAGGGGAAACTTTCTCAATGACTGACCCTGTAAGTTAAACTGTTAGCATCCAAGCAAAGCACCAGCCTTGTGGTGAAAAGAACAACACAGGAAATCAGACTAGTTTAAACCAGAACTCAGAAACCACAATAGAAGAGAAAGGGACCAAGAACAAACAAACATCAGAACAGGGGACACAGTTTTCTATCAATTCTGGGTCCATTCCCAGCCTACCAATACTGAAGATTCTGAGGTCTGATACTGGTTGTTTTCCCCACCGTTTTTGTCCTTTTGTCTAAACTTGAGATGTGACAACTATTAGCTCTGAAAGAATTGTCTCAGGAGTCTGTCTTACAAGGAAGGACAAACTTGCATTAGGATTGCTAACAGGACACCCATCACCTCCACTTCATCCTGGTTGCAGAAATCACTGCTCGTAAAGCACTTCCAGACCTTTCATAGCACAGTCTATTAAAGTAAACCAGCATCCTTTTCTGCTTGACTGGGTGGCAAACTGCTGCAAGCAATTCTTGAACCCTCACAGCTCAAGCATAGGTCAGACTGTGACCTTGTCAGCCATCCCAGTGTGGGTTGTCTGTAATATTGAGTCAGAACCTATGGAAAATCAGCTGAACTTGGTCTTTACTACTCCCTTTGCTTCAGAGTCAGCTACAACTCACAAGTCTGGCTTCAAATTGCCACAGTTCCACATGTGGACAAGAGGGATAAAACATCAAGCATTTATAGGAGCTATGTCCTGCCCTAAAGCAGAAGTTTGAAAAAGGAAGATAGGCACCTTTTGTATAATTATACATTTAGTGTTACTGTTTCACTTTTATAAACAAATTTATCACAGAAAGGAAGAGATGTTTTCAACATTCTATGCTTAGAAAAGCAGTAGTGTGTTTTAAAATTACCAACCCTCCTCCACAAAGCTGTGCACTGCTTGCTAACAGAGAAATGCAATCTCACAACAGCATAAAACATCCATTTCCACTCCAAATGCTTCAGCAGTTAACTCCCTTCAAACAAAACAAAACAAATCAGTGGCTTGGGCAATTTCCTGAGTCTAAATGCATAAGCACCCGTTTTCATTCCATGAACATAAATCATATCACAGAATCATTTAGGTTGGAAAAGACCTCCAAGATCATCAGCTCCAACTGTTAAGCCAGCACCACTGTGTTCCCCACTAAGCCATGTCCCCAGCTGCCACATCTACAATGTCTCTTAAATCCCCTCCAGGGATGGTGACTCCACCACTGCCCTGGGCAGCCTGTTCCAGTGCATGACTACCTGTTCTGTAAGACATTTTTCTTAATATCCAATCTAAACCTCCCCTGGCACAACTTGAGGCTATTTCCTCTTGTCCTATCATTTGTTACCCAGGAGAAGAGATGGACCCCCACCCACCCCATACAACCTGCTTTTGGGTAGTTGTAAAGAGTGTTCTTTTCTCAAGGCTAAATACCTCCCTCTCCCTCAGCTGCTCCTCATCAGACTTGAGCTCCAGACCCTTCCTCAGCTCTGTTGTCCTTCCCTGGACTCTCTTGAGGGGCCTGCAGCAGGATGCTCTGCCTAAGGGGGGATAAAACAGCTTGAACTTTACTGTTTCCAAGAGTTATCAGTGAGAGCTGGAGAAGGGGGAGTCACGCTGCTTTTGGTGTTGAGACCAGCCTGACCCAACAATCCCAAAGTTAAACATTCTGAGGATATGAACAACAGTGTTTCCTGACAGAAACTGGTGAGGCACTGGTGAGGATGTGACAGACAAAGTTCCTGATAAAGAGAGCAACAAGTGATAGCACTGACAACTCATCTAAAGCTGCTGAGCTACAGGTTGCTCAGCAGACAGAGCTAGCCTAGAACTACACGATGATGGAAGAGAGTTTTGTCTTTGCTGTGGAGGTGGTCTTGGTTCCAAGTCTGAACTAATTGCTCTACAACCTGAAGCTGGTAGAAGTTAAAACATCAGGTTACCTGTATGTCTTGGTTCCCACTAGACTGTATTGCAGATCTCATTATGGAAAAGTTTCTGTATCAGTGTTGGTATTGGCACTGAGCTTCATGACGGCTGCTTGCTGTAGCTTATGTGCTTTTTAAAGCACCCCTCAAACATCTTTATCTCCTGGAATTCCTCTTCACAAATGTCATGTTCTAATTAAGTAGAAAATAATTTCCTCTTTAGAGGAAATGTGATTCACTCTCCTCATCTCTAAATAAAACTCATTTTAGTTAACAATTCAGTTTCATGTTTCAGCTGCAGTTCCTCTAGGACCTTCACCCTATGCACAATCCATAACCAACCATACAACATCAAGGGTAGAGCCATAAAGAGCCTAATGGGCAAAACAAGCTGCAATCAGACCCACTGGCTTGTGGTCATCAGAGGCTGAAAAAGCCACACGTCCCTGTCTTACATGCAGATGAGTTTAAACACACAAAAATAGTAGCAGAAAACCACAAAGTTTCTTTCATCTTCTCTCCCCCTTTTTTTTAAGTTGTCTATCATATGCAAAAGACACATTCTAAATCTAAAGCAATCTTCTGAATTTTGGGATTTTTTTTACACTATGCGAAAGGAACATAGCCCAGAAGGACCGTGCTCATTAAAACAAGATGCAAGGGAAACAACAAAGAATGTTATCCTAGCCTATGGATACACATTTTTCCCTGCCCTCTAACAGCAACTAATTACACTGCTGTGTATTAGACCAGATTTACACAAAACACGGCTTTGCCTAGCAAATGTTATCTCTCAGAAGTAGGTGATAATCAGTCGTATGGCACAATGCTCACTTGTCACCTACCCTGACCTGCCTTCAGCACCACCCTCCTGCTTAGTCATCAGGACACGAGGGCCCTCTGCACTGACCCAGGATTAATTATCTGAAGCACAACATAATTTATCTTTTCTTAAACAAACCAACCGCTTGTGATGAGCCAATTCAACTGTTTAAAGTTTCCTAATGTGAGGGCACAAATAAGGGGAAGTTCCAACACTCAACCCTCACAGCAGTTTTCTCAATCCCGTCTGCTCTGATGCAACGAAACACAGGAATTGCAGCAGATTTTACTCAAAGGAATTGCTGCAGTTTTTCACTCAAATGTGGTTTGTCTACTTTCATGGAAAGATTCAATCACATTCAATTACTTAATTGCACTACAAAATGCAGGTTTTTTTGATTTAAGTTGGCCTGATTTGAAGTCTCGAAATTGTATAGATTCCTCTGAGGCACACAAAACTGTTTTTCTTACTTTTTGGAAAAACAAACAAACAAAAACCCTGAGGAAAAAAAAACAAACCAAAACCCAAAACAAACTCCAAGTATTTAAATACAGATAGAATGCTTAAACAACAAATAATCATGGCCATTTTTAAACACACCTATAGATCACTATATGTAGAAAACAAAAGGGGAGGGCACTTACAGAATTGTAGACTGAGGCTCAGAAAGGCCAACAAGGCTGCCAAGGCCAGCAAGAACAGAAAACGGTTTCGGAAAAGCATTATTATTCCTTCTGCTTTCTCTTCATGGTTCCATCTTCATATACCACTGGTTCCTGCAAACAACAAAACGTTGGCAAATATATTTCAGATGTGGAAGCATCAGCTACAGCAAAGAAAATTCAAATATCCTTTTGACAGTGTCAAGTTGTTTCTTAAAGGCAAGCACACGAGGAAATTCAAGTTGGCAACAATGGTATGGATAAGTTGCCTTCGCCCTAGTTATAATATTAACTATATTTCCACATGACAGAACTTTCAAGTAAATTTAAAAAAATGCCATTTCCTGTAAAATTAAGTTTTCCCCTGTTAAGACAGGGTTAATACATTCACAATTCTTATTTAAGACAATAAAGAGTAAGAAAAACTGTCAACACCACTACACAGAAAATGGGAAAGTAATTAAACTTCAGGACTCAACTCATTGCAATAGTGAAAATACAAAAAAATCCCCAAGCCCTTTCCTGAAAATATCCAAACAAGAAGCATGCACCGTAAGGAAAAGACATTCCCAAGTGCACAGAATTTGCTGAAGTGCCCTGTTTTCACAGATGTACATTTTCCTTTGGAAAATAGCTCTATATAAGGGATGGGGGTGGGGTGTTCTCCCCCTACACTTTTTTTTTTAAACAACCAGCTGCTCTTATGTGCAAGAGATGCCTCTTCCTAGCATTGACAGCGTGTTGCAGGAAATTGGTTAGTCTTGAAAGAAACCTTCTGAGATTCTCAGATCCTTTGAACTGAGCTCTGTTTATGACAAAACATTCAAACATGTTGACAAAAAATAACTTTTTTCCCCACACACAGTTTCATTTTGCCCCAGCACTTATTTCCTCACAGAAAGAGACGTCCCTTCCTTCTTTCCTGCTTTTGATAATGACAAGGTTTACACATCCATGTAATTAATACGTATTTGCTTGCCAAAACTCTTCTGCACTCTGAAAACTAACCATCTTAGCAAGATTTTAATCTTTACCTCTGAGTGCTGATAAAATCACAACCTCAAAATTCAGATTTCCCCTCCACCCCCTAATTAATTTTCTTATTAGTATTTGAAATGGTCTCGGGAATCACTGAACTTATTTTATCTATTGTGGTTGGTCTTGAAAAGTTGTGGGATCTACGATGTGGCCCAAAGGGACTTTCATCATACAAAGCAATGAGACCCAAGAGCACTAGTGGTGATCTCACAGAAATGAAAGCAGTGGGGCTTGCAGTAAGTGAAATCCATTATGCATGTGCATTTTGCAGGATTGAGGTCTTTCCATCTCGTTTTACTTGGAGAGCTGCTTTTACAGCTTTTGGAAACTGTGGAAAAATGGAAAGATCTGGAGATTCTGAGAAGCAAAAAACCAGAATCATTACAGTATTTTTCCCAAATGCCAACAGCACCATAAATGGCATGTGCAAGCAGTAATAAAAATAGAGTTAAAAAAAATAGAGAAAGACGGAACAATTTTAACAGTCTCAATTTCACAAAATCATAGCTCATCTGGGAACATCTTAGTGAAAGGCATGTGGGAACAAAACTGAACTACAGCACTGCAACTCAACAAAGCTGTGAAGGGTAAAGGTAAAAGGATTAGTGTATACAATACACCAGGAGAGAATAAAGCAGTTCAACCAAACAGATGGAAGAACAGAAGGGGAACCACAGGAAAAAGCAAAAATAGACTTAGCAGGGAGGAGAAGGTAAAATCTATTAAAAAGCTCTCAGGAACAAGAGGTCTTGTACACAGTCTACGCTCATTAATAACATTTTTGCATAAAATAAAACTGCCACAAAAAAAAGGAAAAATTACAAGACTGGAAAATAGGAGATCATACACACCTCATAATACCAAAATGTTTTAGAGAATAAGCTTAATTAGCTTTAAGCCTTAATTGCAAGATCAGAAGTTTTAAAATATTGAATTTGAAATTCATCACTCAAGAAATTATAAACAAGGTGGAAAGACTTTTTTCTTTTAAATATACCTTGGCTTGCTAACAAATTAAAAGTTGCTGTGTTGCAACTTATGAGGAACAGGAACATCTCCTGTTGAGTAGTTGTTAATTAAAAGCCTGTCAATACAATTTGTCATCAGTTCTTACTTGGTAACAAGCTCGTGGGAATCAGGTGAACATTTGAGAGCCCGTGTACTGAAGCCTCTGCTCCTCTGTGATGGCACACAAGGTGCTCCCAGGGAAAAGCAGCACTTAGCCAGCACAGAATAGTGCAGGCAGTACAATAAGTATTGTGAGCACTCACTGAAGTGAGCATTTGTAAGCTAAAAGAGAGAAAACGAAGCTGGGAGGTGGAAAAATAAAAGCCAACCAACCTTCTCTTCCCACAAACCTATTTTTACGTGCAGATGAAACAAAAAAACAATCCACACAGCAAAACACATTTTGGGTTTTCAGGTTATAGGACCATGTAGCAAGAGGCTGCAGCACTGCAGAGCATCTGCTGCTACGGTGACATTTAGGTCATGTCGATCTTTATCTATTTACTCTTGGCACAGGTCGGAGTGCAGGTCATGCCCCAGCCCCACCATCTCCACACTGTGAGCTCCCAGTGCCCAAAGGTCAATTCTGTCAACAACTGACAGCACTACCTCAATAGTCCCCAGGAACAGGCCTTGGCTCTGTGCCTCAGACACAAGGAAGTACTGACTGCTTTTCAAGGTGAGTAAGTCCCACACCGCTGCAGAACAGGTGGAACTCGGCACCGGGAGCGGCAGCATTCCAGCAGCAGCTTCTGATGTGTGCTCAAAATGCAGTGATTTAAGCTCATCCCCAAGACCGGGAGGTTTAGATTGGATACTAGGAAAAATCTCTCTACAGAATGGGCTGTTAAGCATTGGGACAGGTTGCCCAGGGCAGTGGTGGAGTCTCCATCCCTGGAGGGATTTAACAGATGTGGAGATGTAGCGCTTGGGTGACAGGGTTTAGTGGTGGGCTTGGCAGTGCTGGGGGAACAGTTGGACTCAACGATTTTAAAGGTCTTTAACAACTTAAACAATTCCACAATTCTGTTTCCATGAATGTAGGACTTGATAAAGGCAACCTACAGAACTCCAAACATTTCAGTGACACTAATTATGTGTGACACACTTAAGCAGTCTAGATATTCATAATGATAGCCATTATATGGAAACACAGATAAGTAAAAGGCTACTTTCGAGTCACCTTTTGCAGCATACCTACCTACCTACCCACAGAATTTAACTTTTCCTTTTAAACGTGATCCAAAACCTCAACTCATCAAAACACCTCAGAATGACTCACAGCATGTAGAGCATCCTCAGCTCTTACCTAATCACACCCACGTGTTAGTGTAAGGTGCTAAGCTGCTGCATGCTCACACAAAGGTAAAAACAGATTAATGATTGAAGGCCAAGCCAGGGAGTCAGGAGACTAGGCCACGTCCCTGGAAAAGTTAGTAACTCCCTAGAAATGTTGGGAGAGCAGCCTGTCTGCCCGGAGCCCATGGGAGGCAGAGCAGCTGCCAGCACTAACCTACTTTCTGTGCAGCACTCATGGGGCACCGGCAGCCACTGCTTCACAGAGAACCCCCCCAGCAACCCCTCCTCCTCAGCAAAATACAGAGAAGGCATTTTTTGCAGGGTTGACTAGCTAAACTATTTCTTTTGATTATATTAAGTCAGGCCCTGAAAATAACTTGACATCAATGCTTTCAAATGGCTTGTGAGGTTGGACGTGACACTAAACCACCACTGCCAAACTTTTGTGCCAATTGACTGATACTGCTACATCCTCTAAATCACCAGTATCCATCTATAATACAAACCTACTTTCCAGCATGAAGTGTAAGCATGGAATTATACTGACTCACCATGACAGCTCAAATGAATCTACTTGATTAAAATAGCATGTCTCCATAAATAATCAATAGTGCTCCTCAAGTCTGCCTCAATAAAATTACTGTATTTATCTGATGTGGTACATCAAAATGACATTGTCTACTAAAACAAGTGAGCAAAAGTGGTCACAATTAACCAGCAAAGAGAAATGGTGACTTTGCCCAAAAAAGAAGGTAGTGCTCAGCCTGTACCTAACTATAGACCAAAGACAGAGGTATACTTTGCAGCAAGTTTATAGAGCGTAGGAGGGAGAAAAAAAAAATCCTACAGACAACATAAGGTTGATTTGGACTAACATTCATAGTTTTAGAAAAGGTCATGGAATAAGCAGGTCAGGGACCCACTTACTAGTCTGATGTCTCTTCACTGCAAAAGAAAGTTTTAAATTATCTTTTTGATATAGCTACATCTGTAGGCTTATTTTCTGACAAAACCTGTTCTGAAGATACCTGAAATGAAGGTGAAAGCTCCTGATACAATTCTAATGAAAATGTCTGCCTTGGCTTTCACTTTAACCTGTGATGCTCCACCAATTAATCCCCAGTCATTGGGGAGCAGCCCACCAGGCAGTACATTTTTCACCTACTAAAACCCACAAGTCCAGAGAACTCCAGACAGTGAGGAACTTCATACTCTTGAATTGGCAAGTGCAGAAAATAGTTGAGTCAGTAAGTGGCACAAGCCAAACCTTTTCTTTGGTGCTTCAAGGGATTTGCTTTTTTTACTGCAGGAATGAAAAGCAGTGGCTGGGATTGACATGACCAAATCGACCAGTGGCAAAGATCTGTGGCAAGCACCAGACAGAGAGGAAATGGGAACACTCAATTCTCTGGTCAGCACGACCTGCTTAGCTACTCGTGCTTGTAATTGTCACAGTGAGGAAACCCTCACAAAACCCCCACAGCCGACTGTAACAGCAGCAATGTAAAGTGGGCAGAGGATCCCTGCAACACTGCAGCTGCATTTTGCACAGCATCACAAAGTAATACAGCCAGCACCTGTGACACTGTTAACCACAGCTCTTCATTTTCCCACTGGAAAGGAACAAGCACTCATTCTTTTTAAAAAGAACATTTACAAAAAATAGGTCACAACACTTGGTGCAAAAAAAAAACGTATTTCTAAAAAGAGTAAAACCAGCTCATCATCAAAAATATTAAATAAAACCTGCTTGGTAATGTTACTCGCGTTAGCCCACCCCACGACTGAAGCTGGAACTCAGTAACCACAGAACGCACAAACCTCAACTGAAAGTACAAACAGGTCAGCAGTCGTATTACAAAGAAAAAAAACCCAAACAAATAAACAATATAAGTGAAGATAAGGAAAGCCATGGTAAAAGAAAAAAAAACCAAACAAAACAAAAAAAGCCATGTACCACTCCAGAGTAGCCAGGCACAGAAACAGCAGGAAGCTGTGCCTGTCCAGCAAAGCATGGCTACATGTTGATATGTACAAACTAAAAGTTACTTATTATAATTTTATTTTTTAATTAGTTTAGCAGCAAGTATCTGATTTAAAAAAAAAAAAAAAAAAAAAAAAAAAACACAAAATCTAAGTTGCTTAAGTATAATTAAAGTGTCTACATCTAAATTTCTCTTTTTTTCTATTCCAAGTTTCTCCCTTACCTAATCAGTACTAAAATTCTGAAACTGGCCCAGCTGGTCTTGTGATGTGCAAAAGCAATTGACAGTGGCCCAGCAGTGCTGCCCACTCTGTCAAAGCAACCAGCACAAGCTCCCACTTCATAAAAGCTGAGGGATCAAACAGATCTTACTCAAACAATTTTGCCCCTCTCTCCAGCACTCATTATTTTTGCTGTGCAGCAAATTTACCACTGAATTTAATCAGTCAGCAAGGGTGACAGAAGGGATGAAGGGACCATTAGCAACGCTGAAAACTGACCACACCTCAAAGATAATCCACTGTTCTCAATATAAAAGTCCACTTGACTCCAAAATCTTTGCTTTTAAATCTCAAGGTGCACAAGCTGATGAATCGGTGATCATTTCAAACACCTCTTTCTCCCAACCAGCTTTGAGGTGTTTGAGCAGGACTCTCATACAGTTTTACTCTGGAAATTCTGGAGAAATCATCTTCAGCTTACACCCTTCAGAAGACTGTTTCCATCTTTTGAACTCTGTCCCATTCAATCATGGTTATGAGCTGCCTTCTTTCAGAGATCAGATGCTCAGAGACACAAGCAGAACAACTGTTTACATCATTAAGGTTTGCGTTTGATTTTTTCCAGTCTAAGTCCTTTAGAATATAACATACAAGTCTATGAATCTCTTGAAATTGGGCAATAAACACAACCATGCAGAGACATCTATATTCAAGTTTTGTGCATTAATGTCACAGTTAATGTAATGTAACATCAGAACATTACAACTACCTTTTATGGGTTTCCCAGCATTGGAAGTTCACTTATTTTGCAGCCAGAAGTCTCCCAGTTTCTGGAGCTTCCTTAAATTTACATCAGTGTTCTGATTACATGATGCCCATGTTATCTTGAACAAAGACAACTGAGAAAAAAAGTATAGAAACTGCTAAAAAGCATGAAAAGATCATTAAGTGTTGGATTTTATATATTTTTTCACCCTTGCACAGTGTACCCTGCAGGTGTGTCAGCTCACCTCCTCTGCACTCTGACCACTAATACATGAACAAAACTATAGTTTTAAAATATAAATATCTAACTCCTTTAGTCATTGCCCTAAATCATCTTTTCCTTCTCTATGCTCTGCTATTCCTAAAATTATCAGCATATGTGAGAGAAGTTCTGAACAGTTGCAATTCAGACATAATTTCCATGACCTGCACAACCTTCTGTTAAAAACAAATAAATAAAAGTATTTTAAACTTAGTCTCCTTTCCCCCTCTTCCCAGAAGACTTATCCTTTAGAGATTCCACTTGGAGATAGCTTGCCTTCATGCCCAGGCTCCAGCAGCATCCTGGTGGCAAAGGCATATTTCCTCCTATCAGTTTCACTATTCTATTTATAAAGAACATCAAGTGTTCCCATCAGCCAGGACACAGTGGTGACATGCCCCTGCCTGGAGGAACTTAACAGGAATCTAAATTAGCTCTGACTGTCAAAAAAGAGAAAATGCAGGATTGCACATAGAAACAATTATGGAATGTTTATTTCAACATGTCTGTAGTCTCCTTTATGTTCTACTTTCACCCAGATTTAGATACCTGTTTAGATCAGAGGACAAAGTGATGGTCAGCATCAAAATTCATGCTTTGCAGCTCATGCATTCTCTCTCTTTTGATTAGTACTTTTAGTCATACTTGTTAGTCACTGATGCTCTGATGTCAGTTCACTCTGGGGGCTCAGAGCAGAAACGAGAACCTCTGTGCCCAAGTTCTGCTCCACATTATGGGAAACACCCAGGGAAAGCTCCACATGGCACCACAGGAACCTTCGAAGGCCGGTCCTTCAGCAGAGATGTCTGTTTGGCACCACCAGCACTGCTGTAAGGTCTCAGAGTGCAGCAGAATCTCTGAGCATGAATGTGGTTTGGAATCTGAAGCTGCATTTTGGACAGAACACGATACAGCATGGACTACTTCCCTTCAAACCACAGAGAGGCTTCACTGTTGTGTTACAGTCTACCAATAAAATCCAATCTATAATAAAATCTGTCAAATGACAAAGCTTAAAACAGAGTTGAAATAATGATAGATCAGAAACCATTTCCCTTTTTAAAAAGTCAGACTTCATGGCATACCCAAATTGTAAGTACTGAAGAGACTACTGCAGTTCCTTTGCAGCTTAACACCTCTCATTTTCATATTCCTTTAAGGAACTGCTGAAAATTCTCCACGCTTTGGTCTTTGGTTTTCCAACTATGATTTTATAGGTATCACATGGTTTACTTGTCTGAACAGCAAATGTATGAGAGCATGAAATATTTCCAAGAGTAGATGTCCTTAACTGTGGTTTCTTCTAGTCCACCTAAACACTTAGTTCAAGAGATCCTTGCATTCAGACAAACTTCTCAGTGAGTGCTTTGATCTGTCCTTGACTACTTCTTTTTGGCTGGAAACAATGTCAGTGTTCTACAGCTGTACATGTTACTGTGTAGAAACCTGAAAAAAGTTGCAGTCAACAATGACCCACCAGTTCAGTACATCACTTTGGAGGCTCTGTATGAACCAAGTTTTAATACCTAGGAAAATCTGTCACAAGCCCATCATCCACTTCAGGAATGTCCCCATATTACTACTGCTTTTCCTATGCAATAATGAGTCATACATGTCTCTGAACTTCAGAGAAAGTAAAAACAAAACCAAAGGAAGTTCTTTTACTTCCTTAAAGGAAACTGAGCAACTCTTTTTTAACATTATTATGAAACTTGAAAGAAACCTTGTGATTTTGATGGCTCCAGGCCAGAACTGAATATTAACTGGCAGCAAAACCATTCCGGATCATACAGATACTTAAATAATTCTTAAAAAACAGCACCAGAACGTAATTATTTTAAACTTACAATTTTAAAAGGGTATACCATATGCTCGTAATTGTATGAGCAGAGATCCTAATCACACCCAGATCACAGCCAGTGGCTGATCAGATAACACCACAGCTCCAAAAAGCAGAACTTAGAGCGCTTGAATTATGAAATGATTTTCAAGAGTTTTTTAAGTTAAGATTTTACTTTTTACAGTTTCAATTGTTTAAACAACTCCATGTCCTACCATAACACTCCCCTCTGCATCCGTTTCCTTTGAACACGCCTCTGAACAGGAACCTGCCTCCTTCTGCTCCTGCATCAGGGGTTGTGTTTTGCTGCAAATACCTTCTTTTGGCACTCACTTCGAAAGCAAACACTGCAGGGATGCACTCAAAGCTAGTTGTGATTAACCAGTGAAGTCACATTGAATAAACAGATCAGCGAAGAAAGCTCATAAATGCAGAAAAATGCTTATTTTCCCATACTGGGTCAAAGTTATCCCATCCAATGTTTGAGATGAAGTTAGTATTAAGGACAGCATTTTCTTCTGCATGTCAGCTCTCCCACTCAGGTTAGATGGATCTGAACTCCCAAATCTGCCCTTCTTTTAATTCCAGATGACCTTATACTGGGGCAGTTTATAACCTACCTGCACACACACACATTCTAATATGAGAGGTCCCACACCTGCAGTTCTCAGGAGTTCACACACGTTGATTTGCTCACAGTATTCCAACTGAATGGACTTGGGGAAATTCTAGTTAAGTCAAAAGAGACACTGACTTAATAATCTCTTCAGCCTACTCACCATCCCGTCTCATATCCTGTCTTCAGCTGCTCCTTCACCCCTCACCCTCACTTGCTAGAATCCGAACCCACCCAGTTCCCCTGGCCCTTCACTCAAGCTCCACCTATAACCACTACCCAGCTATGCCTTCAGCTCACCCTAAAACTGTCATTTTACATCTGGTGATTTGGCCTTTACCAAGAGCTTTCCAGGAAATAAAACACAATTTTACTAAATTAGTTAAATTATACATGTGAAAAATGTCAGTGCAACAACCTGATGTTAGAAGTGTTTGTGCAAGAGGGATGGAATGGCTAACACTGATTTCATTACCCATTACATTTCTATTCTATCCTTGTGCTTGAGTGGTATTTTGACCTTCATCCCAAAAGATGTTTCTCCTGACTTCTCCCTGCTACAAGATTCCATCCTATTATATGCCAGGTCACCCAAAACTTCCATATTCAACCACCTCTATGCAATCTCAAGGATCCAAAATTACAGGATACAGATACAGGCTTCTGTTTCTCTTCCAAATGGAAAACTTTTGCCTCTTCACAGGCTATATTGTCCATTGCAGCAACAACAACTGGCAGCTCATACTGGAGAGGAAAAAAAGGAAAAAAGAAAGGGGCGGGGGGGGGGAAAAGACTAAACAGAGTTTATTCAGCAATTTTGTCATCTTCCTGCAATCTAACCCCAGAATGGTGATTACTCAGATGCATTAGCAGACATTCAGCATTTTCTGCCGCCCTTTCTTTCCCACAGCACTGTACAACTGCCAACTTGCCTGGCTGCTGGAGAGCTGAGTGGGGAATAACATAGGCATCACACTGGGAACACTGCTGTGCTCCTGGCAAAGGGCATGCCTGGCTTTTCCCTTGATCCTCAGGGCAGCAGCACAAGTTAACCACTGCAAACACGTCATGTTACAGCTACAGACAACTCAACACACAGGTGCAGGCAGAGGAGTTATTTCTTCAAAAGGAAAAACAAAAACAGTGCTGCCATTAAACACAATGTCCCAGCATTTCCTCAGAAAGGCCCATGGGCCACATTTTTGTTGCTTAGCTGGTTTTATAATTTATCAGCCCACAGAAGCTCCTTATGAAGGTACCCAAAGGTCTTCAGAGACAGAAACACAAGCCTGTGTTCAGACTCCAGGAGCAATCAGTAAACCAACATCATAATGACAGATCCAAGAAAGATGAACAAAGGAAGAAAAATATGGCTTTGTCCTTTTAAAATAGTCATTAACAACAGAGTGTAGCAGACATTTGCAGGGTTTTACACCAGCCACTGCTAGCACTGGGAAATCATAGTACAGTATCTTCCACTGCATACGTAACTGAAATTTATCACAGACATGGAAACAAAGTTATAGTATTTATTTTTATATTTTCACAAGGGAAGCCATGAATTACATGACAATTTCCGGGGGAAACTAACTTCATTCTTGGTACATAATAAAATTTGAGGTGGTTGCAGAAACTATGAATGGATCGGCTGGAAAACAACCACTGAGTAGGATTTCCAAGCAGCAGTTCTGAATGACTTTACCATGTGGCACAAACAAATAGGCTTAATTATTTCAGCTTCCAAAAATCAGTTATTTTTAAGAAATCTGCCAGCTGTCTAGCTGTTCAAAGCACAGTTTGTTTCTCTAATCAATATGAAATACCCTGTCAATCATACTCTGAATTCTCTGCCTGTCATCAGAACCACTTAGTGCATAATCACACACTTACCATCCACCTTTGTAGCTCTCCTGGCAAATGTTCCTATTATCAGCTTGCACAATGAAAAAAAATGCTCTTTTTTGCTGCTTAGGATGACCTATTACATTGATGATTCAGGCATTATCTGATTTTTTAAAAACAATAATAAGTGCCATTTGTCACAGTACACCTTCCCACTCTTTATTTCTTCACTGAGCAAGAAAATGTCTCACCCAGCTGTAATCAGAGACTACCTAATACTTTCAAGACAAACAAGAACATTAATTTTGAATTCTACCCTAAACTCAATGCCACAAAACAAGCCACATGGGCAAAGCTCACATGCTCCTGCATTGACGTGCATCAGGACTCATGTATCCTCCCCTACAAGTTTTAGACAATAAAATTTCCCAAACTTTTCTGCCCTAAATGATTTGCAAAGCCAAATGATTGTTTCAGGGCACTCTTGGTGGGATTCACTGAAGTGCAGCCTGGTTTTAACAGAATATGTAGCGTGTCATGGTCTGTATGATATTTCTAGCAGCTTTCTGGAAAACTGCTATATGAACCTTCAGTTGTCACCATTCTTTATGTAGCTTTATGATCAACTGTTTCCAGTTCTGTTTCTGTGTAACTTATACCATACACTGTCCTGCATTTACATTCCCTGTTATGGAAAACATTTTGGAAAGCATTTTGAAGAAGAAAAACAGAAAATATGTATTTCGTTGCAGTACTGATAAAATATTGTGCTTTATTTTAGCACAAGTCCAGTAAAATTACCATGACACTAAAACCTATGCAAGTAGAAATCCTGCATGAAATCTACATCTAAAGTCTCCTCCCAGGTGTTTGACATTTCCTCCCCTTTTGCTGCACAATTTAAGTTTTCTTTTTTGTATATAATTTCCCACCCAAGCTAGAGTATTTTTAAATACACCCTTCTGAACAGGTTTGACCCAAAGTACACTGTCCAACATTTGGGCATTTCTTTTTAAGCAGATCTTTCCCCACCCAGGTTCCTGTCTAGCAGTGTTGGTCTGTTCTACTCCAGTGCCTGCCTCCTCCTTTTGGTAGAGGCCCTTGAAGGCTCCACCCTCTTGGACAATTAAGGTACCACCACCTCCTTTGTAGCACCCATCATAAATCTAAATCATAAAGCATATGTTAGTAGGTGGCTTAACATTTAATTCCTATGCTAATTTGATTTATGTTTGTGAGCAACACATACCTCACAGTGGTTTTTCACTTAATTAATTGCCAATTTTTTTATTAGTCAAAAGATAAAATCTTGGGGAGATGAGAGAATATGCAACTAGAACTGACCATAAATACAGATAAAAGCCACACTTAGGACCACATGAATCCACCATTCCTCTTTTGGGCAATAACGTGCAGATACACTTGTGATACAAAGCCTTTATACCTAAATATATATATATATATATATATTTCATTTCTTTTTTTTTTTTACATCTGCAACTTCAGGAGAAAAAGCATCCAAAAAAAATTAAACTGAAGTCTAGTTTCAAAGGTCCCCTAAGAGATTACGAAAATGAACAAAGACCTACATAAGAAACCTCACAGGACACTTAAGGTTTCATTTGTCTAAGGAGGTCATGATAAATATGTAAAAATATACACCCCATTGTAAAACCACTGGAGGAAGCAAACTTCCTGGGGGACAGGGGGTTTTGCAAAACCTGAAGCATTGCTTTTGTGTGCCTTCACTCCAAGATGCCCACTTTTAAAACTAAAAGAGAAAGCCCAAAAGACCAATGAAGGCTGTTAGAGAAAAGCAAGTTCACGATCACGAAACTGAAGCCATATAATTAAAAGCCTGCAACCCAACCTGAGCCCCACCTCTGCCCAGGGACACTGGTGCAGACACACTGGTTCAGTTACACCAAAGCACTTGTACAGTTCTGGTGTTGTCAGACCTTCATGTGAGACCCCACTACTCCTCAGTGCTTCCTTTCGCCTAGAACAGGGAGCTGTTTTAGTATGTATTGAATCCTATAAAAAGTAATATTTCAGCACTACTGAGTTTACATAAAATATTTAAGAGACTACAATTAAAAGCCATTAGAGAGAGAAGCATCTGTGTTTTAACCATGTGCACTACTTGTAGTTACCTTTTTGAGAAGATTAAAATTAAGCAGCTTTTGCTTTTCATCCCACTCACACCCTCCCACTACAAATTCTGTCTGAGCTAATCCTCCTTCTACAGACGTCAAAACAGGGCATAAGTATTACAGCTACTTACTGCCAAAATGTGCTGGTTTAATATCCCATTACTATTGTAATACTGGCACAATAACTTATTATATGTGACAGCTTTAGCAGTTAGTCAAGGATAGAGCCACTTATTCACTAGGTTTTTTTTCACCACATAAAACTATATTTGTAAAATTTGTAAAAGAGAAAATTTAAGGTCTGAACTCAGACTATGATGCTAGACAAAATAAAAGGCTTGTAAGGTCATTACACACTCTCTTCTCACTCTGTAATTTCCACTGACAAAGAATTTATGTAAAGTGACCTGTCCGGAAATTCAGGTTACAGTATTTACAAATACACTGATTAACCCTTTATTTCCCAGCATTTTAAAATATACTTTTACAGATTTTCATTTCATTATTATTTTGTAAGGGCCACATTCTCCATAAAGGCCAAGCCAATGTCCATGTCAGAACACACTTCCAATGAAAAGTGCATGCTTCTCAAAATGTTCAGTGTTATTCTTCAGGAACCTGCGGCACAGAAACACACTAAGAAGTCTGTTCAAGGCTCTAAAAATATCTAGGTTAAGTATGTGCAGAGAAAGGGGCTGCCATGGGATACACTACAGACAACAGGCATCAGAAAACAGGTGAACTCACTAAGTTACTCCAACTCCGGCCACAGTGTATCCAACAATAGGTGACACAGTATCTGTCCCTGGAGCAGCACAGCAGCTCCGCACCAGCCCCGGAGCCCCCGCCAGCCCAGGCGGGGGACCCGAGCGGGGCTGTCAGCGCGGAGGTGCCGAGCGCCGTCCAAGGGGGCTCCGCTGCCGCTCCGCCCGCACACGCCGAGCCCAGCCCGCGGGTACCGGGAGCTGCTGCCCGTCCGCCTCCGGGGCCCCGCCTGCCGTCGGGGGCAGCTCACGGTCCGTCGGGGGCAGCTCGCACCGGCCGAGCCCCCCGGTCCGCCCCGCTGCCGCCGCCCGCCGCGCTCCGGCCGCCCCGGACCCCGCGCGGCCCCCGGAGCCGCACCCCCTCCGCGCCCGGGCGGCGGCAGCGACCGCCCCGCCGGCGCCGCCGGGTCCGTGCCGGGGCGGGAGCATCGCGGGCACCGCCGGGTCCGCGCCGGGGCGCCAGTGCTCCCCGGCAGCGCGCCGCGGGCACCGTCCCACCTGCCCGGGCAGCGGCCCCTTACCTGCCCCGCCGCGCTCGGCGCCTCGTCCCGGGGCCGGTGCCGGGCCCGGAGCCGGTGGCGGTGCCGTGGCCGGAGCTGGAGCCGCCGCCTCGCCACGGCCGCGGCTCCGCGCCCGCCGCGCGCCCGACCCGCCCGAGCGCCGCCCCCGAGCGGCCACGGCGCCCGCCCGCGCCCCCTGCCGGACACCGCCCCCGCCGCGGGGGGACCGCCCCGAGCCCGCCGGGGCTGCGCCCGCCAACACGGGACGGGACGGGCGGGTCCCACAGCCAGGTGTGGATCCTACACCTGATGCCGCCCAGGGCACACGCAGTTTCAGCCCTCAGCGGCCGCCTTATTTCACGGCCACAGCTGCGGAGAGCAGCGAGAGGCACCGGGGCCAACAGCGGGCACCTGATCCGAGTTACCCACTCCTCAGCTCTGTTTTTCAACTTCCCGCTGCTTCAGCTCCTAGCGCTGGAGTGGATGACCATAGGCTCCCCGGAGATGCGGCACAAGCATCTCCCGCAGCTGAGCGAAGTTGTTACTGCTGCTGACTCCGCTGGCATGTTCTTCTCATACTTAACTCACCGTGAGCGCAACTGGAAGCTGTCACGGCCCTTTGGAATGCCACAAATTTCAATACAAAGATAGAACAAACATATTCTCTTGTACAGCTGATACAAGTGAGTTCATTCCATAACTTGGTCAGTACTCGGCAAGATTTGTTCCCAACAAAGCAGCTCCGAGCTAACCAGCCTATCCCCTCTTAGAAGGGGATTCTGCTCCACCAGCAGGAGGACTTGTTCAATCCTACAAGATGATCATCTTTGAAATACAGCAATTTTTCATATATCCCTAAACTAGATTCTGAAATCAATTCTGCAGATTTGAGTAATGCCCTAATTCCCTTTACACACGTACTCAGACATGTCAATGCAGAATCTGTGCAAATGCTGGGTGATCAAAGGAGATGCACTGACACTGAACATTTGGCACCAGTGTCTATGGCAAAGGGCTGTCAGGTGTTTTGTCGCAGTCAGGAGGCACCTCAAAGAGTGTATATGGTTCTCATACTCCTGTGGTTCCACTTGCAACCCTGGATACTTCTGCCAGCTTCCAACTGTGCTGTCACACTGCTCTGCCAAACAAGCACACGCACTTATCTCTCTGGCCTCTACTCTCGGGTCAGGGTGACCAGTAGTCAATGTCCCACAAACTGCAGCATAGAGCCACTTTTTCTCTCTTTGATATTGCACATCCACAGAGTCAACATACCCAGCAAAAAGACCAGGCTCATTTTTCTGGCTAAAGTCGTACTTTTGCCTGACTGGTGTGATTTCACCTGGAAACATGCTGAGGTTCTCCATCCTTCTGTTTGGGATAACAAGCAGAAGTTAATCTAGTTTTGTCCAACAGACTGCACAGTGGTGTGGAAAGCAGTTGTCCAGCTGCAGGCCAGAAGGGTGGAGCCTTTACCAACTGCTGCTCTCTACAAACCATCCCCAGAGCTGCTGAGCAGCAGGGTGGTTGGCCTGCCAACTGACTGCTGCACATCAAACGCAGGCGCAGCTGTTCTTCCCTGCACCAGCATCACATCAGATTACAGCTAATTGATCATAACGATTTTCTTGGGTTTTTATAAGACCAGTGCCAACCATCTGAAAAGGAATGACGTACAGAAGAGTAGAAGACAAACTATGGGCCCCTGGATGTGGACAGTGAGATTTCTGACTGTCATTCACCAGATCCTTTAGGGCATGTTACGATTGCATAATGCCCAACAATAGCACAAAGAAATCTGGCCTTTTCCTACTCAAAAAGCAGAAGATACATTGCAGAAAAATCATCTCCATATGGAAACAGTGATTTACCATGATGACAAATGCTTACCAGGGCAGTCACATTTCTACCTCCCTCTAGAGCAAAGTGCAGTTCAAAAAGGATTTGGGATTCAGAAACTGTCAATCTGTTCTCCATGGAATAAAAGGATTTAATTTTCTTCACAGGATGTTTTTTTGCTTTGGAGAATAAAATACGCTTGTCTATATACACGAAAGAAATCAACTTCCTTAGAGATAGTCATTATGATATTTATAAAACAATTTATCCTGTACTAAAAAGTTTTAATATCCTGAAAATGTCTCTGCAGAAACCACATACACTTGGATTTTAAAGATTAAATTAGAAGAGAACAAAGTGAATACTCACAGGGCAGAGCAACTGCAGCTACTGTCCTTGGAGCAGACTCTGAGTTATGCACAGTCCCACCATATCACCTCACTTGATATTACCAACTGGTCTACTTTCTGCTACACACAGCATTATGCACCCAATGATAGTGCAAATACCATTTCATATCATCAAGATTTGCTCGTCTGGCAAATATTGGAAGGATGTCCGTAAAGTAGAGTGAATTAGCTATGAACTAACAAAAATTTTGTTACATTAACAAAACAGTAGCCATAAGCATATCTAGGTGCTAAAACAGTAAGTTTGTTTGGTACCATCAACCAACAGCTACTGAGACAATCCACTATCACATGTGGTCAAAATGCTGTGGTGCTCCTCTGGCTGACCTCAATCCCAAGAGGTAAACTGACAACCTGAATCAGAGAGGATAGGTCATGGTGAAATACAGCCCCACCAGCCAGGGAGGACAGTTCTCATTTTAGGGTTTACTTAGATTTTCAAGCTCCTGGCCATAATCTTGTTGTTGTTGTTGTTTTGGGAATTATGCATATTCCAACTGTTAGGTGGGGCTTTTTTCTCCATCTCCTTCATTTCTAGTTACTGAGTCGTAGCAACTACACATTCTTCTGCTTGCCAGTTTTTGAAAAGGAGACTTTGGAGAGGCTACAGGTTGGTTCATAGCTGTCCTGCAGACAAATTCTAACACACATAGTACACAATCAATTACATTTCACAGCATAAAATTATTCAATTTTCTATTCAATCCAACAGCTAATACTTCTGCAAGAAATGAGAATCAGGAAGGAAGCCCAAAGACTTTACCCAAAATACCACCTAGATCCCAGCTACTGCC